ATCCATGAGTGGACCACTACAAACTCATACATACATGTATTAACCTTTCAAAAACTTTGACATTTAATATTACCTCTGCACTGGTCAATTTTTACTTTATATCATTATAGCTAAAACATGAATAATGAAACTAACTGAAATGTTCTTACCACAAATGGTGATATATTTCGTTCTTGAGATTCTTTAATACGACTGCTTTCAGAATAACAATTGTCTTTCAACCAACTAAGCGGTATCACTCCTTTGTGTATTTCTTTTCCTCGCCAACTTAATTCAACACATGAATCTAATGATAAACAACAAACAAGTCGTTGTTATAGTAACGACTAAAATTTTACTACTATTATTTTATCTTTTATTTTTTTATAACTATTACTTTATAGCTGTCAACCAATGGAAATTGTATTCCTACGGATGCAACAAATTTATTACTCTTATTATAATTGTCACTGGCATTGTTCCCATTTGTATTTGGCCAAATTAACATGCGAGGATGGCAAATTACTTTATGTCCACATAACTGGGACACATACAAAATGACATGGCTGCCAATCACCCATTTTGAATCACAAAACAAACTGACATGCATAAGCAATCCATCATGTGTGACATTCAAATTTGAATAAATCATTTACATGACATACAAATAGTAAAAAAATAAAAACAGAAACCAGTTATCCATTTTGTCAGAAATTAACATGATGTGTAAATTTTGATGTGATCTGGGGTTCTTAAATTGCGGAAATAATGGTTTTAGCTTCAAAATGGATGTCATTTCTGGATTATAAAACAAAGATATGTGCACATACATGTAGGTGACATGATATAGTATGTATATGTTAAGTTTGAAGGTGATTGTTCAAAGCGTGTCTAAGATGTCTCTGGAAAGCAATTTTAAAAAATCGTAATAGTCTCTGGTTGGCCATTTTGAATCTTATCTAAAATAAAACAACAAACAAAATATCATGCAGCAAGTTATTATTATTATATTTAATATATGTAACAAGTTTAAACATAATTTTTGAATGCACTGCTGAGATCTGGTTTGAGAATGGTCAAAATACTTTGTTAGCTTTAAAATAGATTCCCGTTTACACTGCCATCTTGAATGCAAAACCCTTGTATGCATATGTATCCCATGAGGTAAGATATATGTATATGTGTTTGAACCTGATTGGCCAAAACAATTAGATTAATTGCAAAGCAGTGAATGTCATTCAACTGAAAAACAGTACACATGTGCCAAGCTGTAATTCATTTGAGATAACCGTTATTATCTATGCGGAAAGTAGTTAATTATTTCAGTCTAGTGATGAAATATCAAGCAAATGTCAATTTAATTGAACGACAATACCATCCAAATGTCCAATGTACATACAGAACAAAACACTCAAAGCAAATGAAAATAATTCTGATACTGATCTCACCCTATATGAACAGCTACATTTGTACATTTTTGAGAATAGCAATGCAAAACATGGTAAAATATTACTATTGTACATACCCAAGACATTTATATTGTCCAGAACAGATTGCGGATCAATTGAAGAGCTATCTATCAATATCTGTCCACTGTATTTCTGTTTACAGAGTGAGCAGTGACAATTGTGTCGCAGCCATACACTATGGAATCTAAAAGACATCAAGAGAAATGTTAAAAATTTTTGTGTTTACAAATGGTTTAGATTTAATGTTGTGATTATACAAAGGGCGGCAGTCGTCGTGCCGCGTCCTGTTCGATATGGGACTCATAGCGACGTATACAACGCGTGAAAAATACATTGTTTATTTACATGATATTCGAACACGCGCTGCGCGACGACCACCATGCTTTAAATAGTATAATAACACCAATGTACATGTAGTTGTTAGTATCTGACTAATATTATACCAATGATATTTAATGACATATATAGAGAATATCCATGATATTATATTTATTTAATAAGGAACAAATTGTGACACTCATTTAATAAATCTGATATCATAGATCATAAATTTTAACAATACAAATATTGTTTGTGTTGGCTTGTCCTAAACTTTTTATTTCAACCTATTCATTTCCATGCAAGTATGTTGTTTCTGGTGTATGTGTTGTGGCTAGTTTATCGCCTGCAAATAAATAAGTATTTTATTTTTGGAATGATCAATGATTTTACAAATACTTTTTTGAACAATATGTACTGGTATGTCTGAGAAATAGTAAAAGCAACATGGCCATGCAGCAGTCAGTCATTTTGAATTTAAATCACAAAGCAAACAGGTTTGAATAAAATCAGGCAAGACATGCCTGTAAAACAGTTATGAAATGGCAATAAATGAGCATACATACAAAATCAGTCAAAGTATGTGTGAGAAATGGTTAATGGCACAAGAAAATCAAATTTTGTATTAAATTACCAAACAAAATGACTTGCATCAGTAACTGATTGTGTGACATCAATACATAATTTGAACAAGTGACCTTGCTGGTCAGTAGAGCTCCACTGTAATTGACAAGTGCAAAGGGCAGTGGCAGTTACTAGATGTATAGGAGAAGTGGAATCTATGACAGTTTAGTAATTGTGGCAATGGTCACTGTAAGGGCATATCTCGTAAGAGGAAACATAATTGTGTATGTAATGCATGGATATGTATAATTGATGATGTGGGTGTACAGGAAATTGAAGCTGAAAAATAAAGTTGTTGTCACTATTACCAGAATATATTTTTGCACTATTTGGCTATTGTATACATGTGACTGAATTGTGAATGACAAAGTTAGACATTACGACAAAGTAACATGTGATCTTGAGATGACCTTGACCTGAGGCCTTGAGATGACCCTGACCTGAGGTATGAATAGCAAGGCTGAAAGTTTTGGAGAAGAAGTCGTTTGAATGAAAAAAGTTGATGGACAACGTCAGGTATGGTCAACCTATGAGCTCTGTTCGATCATCTTCAATGACAGCGAAGCTAATAAAATTAACCCAGCCATGTCTGAGAGACATAACATGATGTCTAGTATTTTGCTTGCCAAATTTTGTTTAGATAATATAACATGAATTCCGAGTTCCTAATAGCTGCTCATTTGCAAAATTATTTCAAGGTGTGAACGTGTGCGGGCACCCTGCGAGTGAGGTTGTTTTTGAATAACAAAAGCGTAACACCTTGAATATTCTTAGTTCGAAGAAAGTTTCAGAACTTTGTAAATTCCCCCAGGATCGTGCATAACTTGCAGTAATGCACAAAAATGAAAAAAGTTCATTGAACTTGTAGATAAACTGAATGCTTGTCCCTTGGAGCCTGGCAATAGTGGAATATCGAGTAAGCCCTGTCGTTCTTTGCAAAATCATTATATGTACAGTTGAAATTTACTTTTGCATTTTTTTCACAATATAGGGATTGAAAAACAAGTCATTGAAAATGACACAGTTCCCGTTCAAATTGTTCAAATTAATCTTCATGTACCAAACTTGGCCTTAACAATATTCAAGGAATGCGTTTACAAAGTGGTGAAATACCAAAACAGTGTATGACAAATAACATGAAAAAACAAAAGAAAATGGTACTTTCAAGAACATTTTTAATGCAGTGTCCAAAGTCTGAAAGGTCAAAGTCAACTTCAGCAAGACACCCAGAAATTTATGTGCATGGAATACAGCCAAAATGATTTGGTCAGAATGAAATGCAGCTATTTAAATTAGCAACCTGTAAAAACACACAAACTTTATCACATTTTAAACACTACTGGAATGACTTAGGATAAGTTTTAAATACAATATGCCCCATATCAATTATGTTATCAATAATCACAATTGAATATACCAAAGGTTACAAGACTGTCATGCATGTACTAAATATTTATGTGATCCTTGATGAGCATAAAGTGCAATCACTAATTTACTCTGACCTGTTATTTCAGAGTTTGAAGTAGGACCAGCACTGGCTTCTATATCACCAATTAGCAACAAAATCATTCCCTTATTGTACAAGTAAAGTTGCATAAATCATAAAGCTGTTAGTGTTTTTTCATCACAAACTTTAGTTAATGATGAAAAATACAAAGTCTAAATACAAACTTTTATATACAAATTCTTTTTTGAAAAAAAAGTTTCAAAAATGAAGAATTTTAATTGAAGTCAGCAAATCTTTTCTGAAATATAGTTGTGTATACTGCATCACTATAATATTCGATATATATTGTTGTATGATATATGGTACTGAGCCTACAATTTTTTTTTTCAAATCCAGATCCTGTAAAAAAATATACGAAAAAAAATAATTTATAAACATATAAAAATTCACATAAAACCACCGAAACCTTGCAACAATAATAATTCGGTTCTCTCAAATGTACATTTAAACAAACAGGTACAAACAAGTGACCTTAGACATAGATGGCACTGTGACAGGCAAATTTATTATCGCAGCATGCATTAAAAAAATAACGTAAAATAACCCAGTAGATAAAAAAAAATTTACTCCACTGTACTTACCAAATAATTTATTGATCTTCAGACTATTCAGTCTTATCGCAATGTGACAACAGAGATCCATAAACATGGACCTGAACACAAGGTTTATTACCATTTACCTCAATCTGCTCCCAAGATGCAACACTGGAACACATTGCCAGAACCTTAAGACAATGCAGGGAAAGGCAGGATCCAGGATATATATACAAATTATAAACAAGGTAGCAAACTGACAAACAAACATAATACTACTACTTTTATTGACATTAATTTAACAACAACAACTTCAGAATGACTTCAGATGTGTAAAGTCTGGGTGCGGCTTTAATTAGGGAAAATTTTTCAGAAAACAAAGGCCTGAAGGGATAATGAGACCCCTCGCTAAATCACGGGTGTCGGGATCCAAACAAAAACCGTGACTTACTGAGGGGCCTCGTGAATTGAAAACAAATAAAAAGCACATATACACACATGGGTTTGTAGTAAGATTTCTTTATTGAAAAAACATCATAGCTTCCATGTCCGCATAGATTCAACTCATTGTAGTGAGTTTTATAGAGCTATATCAAAGGTGGACCGGCCAAGAAGTATTGTAAAGTCACAACTTGACACCCGTCAATACTTTGAGTCAGGCGACTGTCACCCTTTGTACATGTATCTCAGTAATTGGCGTACAGTAAGTTTTAAGTTGTCTCCTGCCTGCTGGCAAAATACAGCAGAATTTTTGGGAGCCACCCAACTACCTGCGCTACTTAGTCGAAATCGTGAAATTATTAAGACGCGACTTAGCGAGGGGTCACTGTATCTCTATCTGAAATATATGGTGGCCCTGAAAAGGCCCGTTTGGTTTGTGTAGCACACATGTATGTGAAAGTTCGGGGTGCGACTTATATTGCAGGGTTTCCCTAGGATCAAAACTTGTCAATTTCAACAAGAAAAAATGTCTCAAGTTAGGAGTGTGGCTTCTATTAGAGCTGCAGCCTCAATTATGATTTTTACGGTAGATGCATGTAATTCATAGTCTCTCTTAATCAGAATCTGCACATTTTTTGCCTAAAATAGCTACAAAACAGTCAAATTAATCTAATTACAAAAAAACTTCATGTGCCATGTATGTGTACCCCCACACATATACAATTCATGTGTACCAAATCTGAACAGAATCCATCAAAGCATGTAAACCATATAACGATTAACGCGCACGCACACACACACACAAATGCACGGAACCCAAATTACTAGTTTCCCGTTTTCGCACTACTGTCAGAACTAAAAACTAAAACTAATACTAGAACTAAAAAAACTATGTGTGCATGTCATATATTTATTTGCTACAAACTTTATGTACAGACTGTTTTCTGTAAATTTTCTACTGTAATAAAAAAATCACTGATATCTTCAGGTTCGCATTTGCGGCTATCGTCACTGCTGTTGCACATACAAATATAAACATGGCCATTCATGAATTTAGTTATCATCATCAATGGTATGTCTCCTGAGAATAACTGTGGCAGACTAAACGAACAGTGAATGCGCCAAGTTTCAAAACGAAATATAATATAATATAATAATATTATTATCTTTACAAATGAACAGTTGTTTTGTAGAAAGTCATGACAGAAAGTAATCTAGGAAAGTCAGGGATATTTCGCCAGATTTTTTTTATTGTGCTGGAAGAACACCAGGAACATTGCAATACCTGTTAATCATTTTATATGTTTGTAGGTCCGAATCTGGAAATAATACGCTTCCCGCACGATGCTAATCAGGTGCATACTATGTTGTATTAATTTAACCCCACTCCAAGAACCAAATAAAACATTAGCTGGAAGTGTGACCAGTGCACATTTCTTGAGGGATGACGTTATTTTATTTTATTTTTATTGAATATGTGCCAACATTTTTTCCTGAATTTTCATCTTGCATGTAATTGTTTTTCAACAACTCTTCCAGCCACCTTTGTGATTTCAAATGGCCCACCCTCTCATCAGGTAAACAACTATTTTCCACAACTTGTTTTGAGCCCTGTATATAAAAATACTCAGTTGAAATTTGTGAAGTTTAGCAAGTCAAGTACATTCAAATGTTGTTCAAATAATGATGAAAATTTAGAAACAACATCATTTTAGCAATAATTTTCTCTGTAGTGAAAATGGTTTTTAAATTGTATGTGAAGCAATGATACCTGGTATATATAACAGTATTACAATATGACATGAAATTGTGCGTCTCAATATTATTAGCATGTTGGTTTTCTTCAAAGTCAATGAATTGATTTTTGATTTTAATTTCAACAAATGCAGATTTGTTCATCTATGGTATGAGTTTTGATGGATAGAAATCCTGTCATTGATAAAGACCGATATCGCCTATTAAAGATAATATATAGTTAAACCATGTATTTTTAGATATTCAGTTTTAGATAGTGGTACAGATTTACCCAATGTGGTTAATCCTACACTCCATGTGGTTAATTCTACCCTCCATGTAGAAAATTGTTTTTTAGCTGAAAAAATCAATGATAAATCATTTTATCATTTTGTAATCGACTGTTTATCACTTCAAACAAAATATTTTCTGACCGGAAAATAACCTCCTTTTTATTGTTTTTTTATTATTTTTGTTCAGATATTGAAAACACTGACTGCTCACCCAAACACTGATCACTGGCACCTGAGTGGACGAAATGGAGGTTTTAATAATGGTAAAGTTTGGGGATATGAGTATCATTTCAGTGTATTCCTGAAAAGTTAAGTGATGATAATTATTAAATTCTGAATGAAATTTAAAATGGTATGACATCATTCGTGAACAGTTTCATGGAAACATAAAATTAGCATGCATGTGTAATGTGTGCCCTGACAGTGTTCCACAACTCCATTCATTAATGATTTATTGAGACAGTAACATGAAAAAACCAATGAGACATACAGCTGAAAAAAGTTTCATTTCAAAATTGACGATGCCAAAGCCACGTTGGTCTGATAAGATTTGACTTCAAAATAAAGTAATGATCATTGGCTGGGCTTGATTTATGAGAGGCATGACTGTGTACTGCATATTATCGAGTGAAAATGGGCCACATGCCCTGGAAAAACAAGCCATGCATGGCACAGCCCCCGTTAGTTATCAAATCTAACTTTTGTTTATAGTGATATAGTACAAGTACTTGTTCATAATGAGAAATATTGCTCTGGAACAGCATTAATTAAAACAAAATGGCCACCAGTCGGATTGTCATACCAATACATCTGTATATCTATGACATGATATATAATGAATATATAACGTGCATCAGGAACCCATAATGTCTGATGTACTGTAAAACATGTTGAAAAAGCGGCATGCAATTTTAGCGAATTGTGGTAAAATGACATAATAGCGAAATGTTGATTTAGCGAATCTCTCTTGTCATTGTTGATTTCTTTGTTTGGCGGCCATTTTGAATTGATAATAAAGTCATTAGCGACATCTTGAATTAGCGAATCAGTTCTCTCGCTAAATTCACGAAAAAGACATGCTCGCGAAAAAGACATGTTTTACAGTATGTACCAAGCTGGAACCAATTCCATCCATACACGACCGAGAAAGTTACAGAATGCCAGAAATGCTTGATTTTTGATGATTTTTAGCACAAAAATGGCCACCATTCAGACATTTTGAGTAGGCTCATCAAACCAATATATCTGTATACATGTATCTATGACATAATGTATAATGAATATATAAAATTTGAACATAATCAGTCAAAGCATGTCAGAGATATGGCACTAGAACCACATTCATTAAAAAAGAATGGCCGCCAGTTGGCCATTTTGAATCTTATCTGAAAAACAAAATGACGTGCATCAAGGTCCCATAATGTCCAATGTATATACCAAGTTTGAACAAAACCCATCTGTAAACAGCCGGGAAATGCTTGATGTTTCAGTACAAAAATAGCTGCAATTCAGCAATCTTGAATCAGATCGTGAAACAAATTGATGTGCATATGTACAATATTATGTATGTGTGAAGTTTGAATTTAATTGGTCCAGGCATGTCTAAGATACAGGTCTGAATGCACACACGGACACACAGAGGTCAATCCATAAGTCCCTGTTTTCAGACTATGTCCACACGAGGACTAAATATAACAGAGTATAGATAAATATGGTATAAAATAGTTGTGTCCATGAAAAATCATAATTCACTGAAGACCTTCGCTTTTATGAATCATTAACACAAGTCTGGTTTTCTCAACTTGCCAAACAAAACTGATTTGCCATGCACCTTGTATCTTTGCATAAGTTTTTCTTTTTAAACTAAGGTTAAATTCCACACCTTGTAAAAATATACAGAATGATGTTTTATGTTCTCAAGTGAATAATTTTAAAGCCTGTGACAACACAAACAAATAAATAGTACTTGTTTTCAGTATTGAGAAACTAACAGTGATCAACATTCCAAATAAATAATTACCTAGACACGGTCAATAGGCATTTCAAACGATCAATGATGTGTTTGATTACTATTATTGATAAATTATTAACCCCACAAACTTGTAATTAATAATAGTACTACTGTAAAATCTTTATTAGAAACAGCGGCTTCTATTAAAATTGTACAATGTAATAGAGGGGATGTGGCTTCTATTAGAGCATGTACACATATGAGAAATGGTGAATTTTTGATTCTCAATTATTCAAAAAGAATGGGTGCGACTTCTATTAGGGATGTGGCTGCTAATACAGATTTTACGGTACTAAAGGTGTATAATAATGATGTTATCTTCAGAATACTGCAAAGTACAGAATCACATCAAACAACATTATGTTTCAGTTAATATAATTGTTATTTTATACTTTCTTTGTGATATTATTGTGTTATTTAACCTTATTGTTATTAGAATTATTAGTATATTTTAATCCCACATACCTGCTAACTGAGTTATCAGGCCAACTCACTTCAACTAAGCGTCCTTCTTGGAGCAGATCTAAAGAAACTTCAGCCTGTGATAAAAAGGAGTCATTGTTAGTTCCATATTTTACAAACAGCGTCCGGATTACTTTCGGAAATTCCGTCGCTCTTCGGAAAGTTTTAATTTTCACAACTTTTGAATATTAATTTGTGCTTTTAGGTTAGTGAGAAGGTTATAATAATTTTTCATTTCACTTTAACTCTGTTTTTTTCACCCCTCAGACCCCTTTAAAAAGTCACTTCTGGCCATTGTAATGGCCACTATTTTTTTAATGGCCAGAATATCAACCAGAACTTTTTTAATGGTCAAAATATTGACCAGTAATTTTCAACTGGTAGTTATAATGAGCACTATTTTTACACTGGTCAGAATAATAGTTTTTTTTTATTTAATGATGGAGTGGGT